ATATTTTAAATTCTGGTAGTTTTTACAAATTTCTTAAATGGCAGGAGAATTTAGCTGGTAAACCTGAACCACTTCCTGAGGGTTTGTTATTTATGGCTTTTGATAATGAACAAAAGGTCAAAAAAACTATCTAGATCGTGGTAATAATACTGTAATTTTCAATACTGTAACAAGTTTTGTTGCATTTAATTTTGATTCTACAGACAAAACACAGGTTCTCGAAGATCCTTGGTTACATAAAACACTAAATTCAATTCAAATTCAAGAACTTTTTGATTTAACACCAGTAATGCAAAATTTGCTTGATGAAGAACTTTGTGATTATCTTTCTGTTATTTTAGACGAAGCTTGTGCAGAGAAAATGAGGGACACAAATCTTATTGATTTGTTAGTAGCTGAGTATAATGGAATAACAGGTAGACAAAAAAAATGTAATAATTGTGGTAAAAGTGCAATAGAAAATTTAAAACAAAAATGTCCTGGTTGTAAAGCAAAATTACCAACAATTGCTGAAATCCAACATGAAATATCACAAACAACATTTGAAAAAAATGACAACAAACCTTTAACAATAAAATTTTATGATGTTGAAACAGGAAATTCTGACAAGAACTTAAACCCAATTAGCATTACTCAAAAATCATCACCACAGGAAGGTGTTAAGTTACCTGGCATGCTAATACTTGATCCTTTACCAATTAATCCTAATTCTATTGATAATGTTTGTATGGTGCTAGATCATATTCAAAGAATTAGTGGAATCAACAAAGGAGAGCGAAAATGGATTGCTGTAACTTGTGATGGAGTTCCTTATAATTATGCTCAAAAATTCAAAAAAGATTTTCCTGGAATTCTTTTGATACCTGGTCCACTTCACAAAGAAATGAATATGTTAAAACCTTTTGTGGAATTAAATTGGTATGGTTTTTAAAATTGTTGTAGGAACTATTGTATTAGCATTTATTCTCATGCTTTATTGTATGCTTTGATTATAGGAATATTGACTTAAAGTGCTTTGCATTATGTCAAGGGTATCATAATGAGAAACAATTAGGATATTATAAAAAATGTTCTTACTACTGTAAAATAGTAAATTATAAATCACGGGAACGAACATATAAATCGGAAATGATTTACATGTATCACGAAGTGAAAAT